GAGGAAAACTAAACGTGGTTTTTTCGAAAGCAAAAAAAAAAAAGAGAGAGAGAGAGAGAGAGAGAGAAGGGAAAGGAAAAGGGAAGAAAGGAGAGGAGAGAAAAGGAAAAACAAACGCGTTCAGAAACAGCGTCTCGGGGAATAATGAACAGGGATCTATTGACTTCCTGGCGGAAAGGTCGTTTTGCCGGTCGAACGATTTCGAATTGCGCTCTTTAGAGCGGGGATTAATCTCGATGCCTCGGTGTACGAGATATGACTTTAATTCCGTTTGCGCCCGGGATAGAGCGCTCGATACGTTCAATGATATAAAATGGCGCTTTATTGAAGGGTAAAATTGAAAAATGGTAGCAGTGAATTTGTCTTTTCATGGAGGGATGGGATGGAAGGGGTGGATGGACAAAAATGTGCTATTTTTTGGGGTATGATAATTCGATGATTACAATATATTTATTATCGTTTGAAAATGTATGGAAATTTTAGATAAAAGAGTTGTATGCATGATCGCAATGGAGATAATATCGAGCCAGATGAAATGCAATTTTTCTAACGAAATTTTCAGTTTTTAACAGATTTATCGAAAGTAATATGTATTAATTAAAAATATGATTCAACAGGTTGCTTTGATTATAGTAAAACGACAATATAATTATTGTAAAAGTTTTCATTTTGATAAAAATGATAAAAAAAATATAAGTGATTAAATTTCAAATTAACGTGTAATAAAATAAATATTATTCGATGTTTCATTCTAAGAAATTAAAAAATTTTGAATAACGTTATAATCTCACAATATTTTCAGAAAATACGATTTAATTTTATATTTTTTAACGAAGTGTTAAATTTTAAATATTATTTACTTTTGCTATGAAACACGACGATTCGAAGCCGAATAATTCTGATTTTAATAAACAGCAGACAGGAAATATCATGAAATAATGATAAACTTTGAAATTGATAAACTTTCGACATATCATAATAGACGAGTTATCAATTTTGAATTTTAAGAATAAATATTAGTAGATATTACAGTTATATAGAATATTATAAGAAAAATATAGGAAAAATAATGATAATGCATGTTATCAGAAACGATAAATTTTAAAGTAAATTCATCTATATAAATTTATAATATTTTTAATTAATTGTACTAAATAAATCCATAATTAATTGTAATTATATCTATTAATTAATTTCACTTGTTCTTCTTTTTCGATTAGAATTGAATGTATAATTTCTTAATCCTGATTGAGAGAACGAAAATATTTTTTCATATAAAATATAAGAAAATAGAAATTCGATCAATCGTGAAACACGTTAAAATATAATTTATCAATTATTTAACACGACCTATTGTTCTAAATATTAATTATTAATTCTAATATTAAATTCTTCGCTTTTTCTCTTTCCCTCGATAATAAAATAATATTAAATTCATAATAAATATCAATAATCAATTCCATAATTTTTTCACATCTAAATTTAAATTAAATTTTCCATAATTCCATAATCCATAAAATAAATTTAAAATAACTTTCATAACAAGAAAATCATAGTTCTTAAAAGTTATTTAAAAATATAAAACGAAAGCGGAAATAAAATGTTAGAACCCAAAAAAAAAAAAAAAAAATGAGAAAAGAAGAAGAAGAAGAAGAAAAACCTTCAAAGTTCGATGATCGAAAATTTCACGCGGAAAGTTCCGTGGCGAAACTAATTTACCCGCAACGATATCGGGGGTCCACGAGGGGTGGTTGATCGATGATTTAACAGCCACTTTTCGCAAGATGATTTACGTATACAGGATGGCGGCGATGCATTTTAATAAATTTATCGGGGACAGCGGCAGTGGCGTGCGAGGAATTATACTTGCTAAAGCGGAGCGTCGAGATTCCGCGGCTAGTATTTTTCGGGCCAAGTTGGCCGGCGGATGACATCAAAGGGATGCAAAATAACCGGCACACGAACGTTCACGCGCATACGGATGAGACACGTACACGCATGCAACGTATTGTTCGTTAGCCTGAAAAAAAAAAAGAGAGAGAGAGAGAGAGAGAGAGAAAGGGCCAACCGAGGAAACCACCGGTGTGCACACAGTGTATCGAATATTTTAAAAAGCTTGCCCCATCCTCGTGGGCCTCCATTAGAGCGAAAAGAGCGTCTCGGGATGTCAACGAGCCGATTATTAACCATTGTTAACGTTTCCAAAGCTGATTTTTCTAATTTAGATGCAATCGTGTGAAACGATTACTGGCTCTTGTTCATTTTTCATCGGATTTTTGGGTCAATGGAATAGATAAGTAGAAGAGGGGGTAGGAGATAGGAGCGAATTAACGTTGGATCATTATTTTTTAGGATTTTTTGGATCTTTATTATATTTATGACCAGGGTTTTATGAATATTTTGTATTACTTGTATTTCGTCGTATTGTTAATAAGTTTATTTTTAAACAAATATGATTAAATTGACGTGAAAAATGAATTTCAAGTAAAGGGAAAATTGTATTATTTTTGAAAATAAAAAATAATTGTATTGTATTTTTTTTATTGAAAAATATAACTTTTATAAGTTTAATAATATATTGTTTTGATGTTAAACAATTTAGATTAAATTACATGATTTCATGTATGTAGGATATTTAATTTTAATTTGCATTCTAATATATATTTCAAAGGTGATAATTTTGATCGTGCGAAATATAAAGTATAGAATAAAATTATGACGCAATGATAAGAAAATTAAGGGTTAATATTTCAGATTTCTATCTCTAACTTTTTTTTTCCTTTTTAATTTCCTCAAACTTTTCGAGTTTTCTCGTTAATTCAAATGTTTTTTATTCTCTTAATTTAATCTTTGAACTTCTTCAATCTTCTTATTTCTCTAAATTAAAAATTAAACTGCAAATTGAAATTAAAAATACGATATTAATCATTCATATAGCTTTTACGATGTACAAATCTGTAATATCTATTTTATTTAATACATTTTAAAATTTTAATACATTTATGAAAAATTTAAATAAAATAAATCCATTTCTTCATCTGGTGGTCATATGAATATGAATTTACAATGAAAATTCACAATCTAGAAAAATTGTTATCTATAAATCATGTTTAATATTAATAAATAAAAATGCATTTAAAAATTTTCTGTACTTAAAACTATAAGTGAATTTTATTTAAATTTTTATCAACTTAATTGCAACCAATTTTACACCTGATTATTTAATCAAACGAGATTAAAATGAAAATTTAAAATACGAAAAGGGTACGTCGTCAAATATTCCGATGAAAATTTAAAGCGAGTACCTTAACTTTCAAGCAATTAAGCTGTTACGAGGAAAGGCCATTTCGAAAGAGTAGAATGCAAAGGCAATGAGAATAAGGACTTTAATCGTCGGTGTTAGAGTTTCTCAAAATTGAGGAATCGATAAATCAATACCTATAATGAACATTTTATTGCAGTTGTTACTTCATACCATTATAGAATGCAAAGATGAAGGAGAAAATTATTTTTAATTTATATTAATTTATATTACATTTAATCAAATTAATTTGCACTTAATATTTATAATTATCATCTAAAATCCTTATTTTAAAAACTTTTATCGTATATTTGCTTCTTACTTAGTTATTAAAAAAGGATGTTAAAATTATTCTATTCGTTATTTCAATGAAACTTTTATAGATGTTGTAGAATAAAGATTTCTGTTTCTAGATTTAATTTTTTTATATTAAAAAAAGAATAATTTAAATTTAATAAAATAAAATGATACTAATTTCCAATCATTGATTATTTTAATATTTCTCAAAAAATATCTTGTTTTAAAATTAAATTTTTATAGATTTTTATTTCTTAAATTTTTAATTTTCAGATTATAAGGAGCAGAAAAATAGTTGACAAAAAAGACATTGTATTCATCCAAAGCTGTAATCATCGAATTTTCACCTTTGTAACTACAATCTAAAACAAAATTTTAAGAAACAGCTTCATATTTCTCCAATCTCATTTCAATAATCTAAAATCCATTGCCAAGTAGCAAAGAAATCAATTTCCATGCTCCTCCTTGTAATCTCAATATTCTCTCAATGGTATTAAGATGGTTTCATCCGAGAAAGAGTAAAAGTAAAGAAAAATGTAAAGATATAAAGATGCACGAGACAAGAAAGGTTTTGCGATATTCATTTCATCCTTTGCAGCTTCTCGCGTTGCGACAATTGATGCAAGGAGACAAGGATCATCCGAACGCGCCACTAGGGAATAATTTCAGACCGCCGCAGCCGCTTCATCATCGCCCCGTTCGAACAAACATCGACTTCAACGTTCAGGTAACCTTTCTCCCTATACTGTTGTGTATACACGAGCCTTTTTGAACCTCACGATAACCCCGTATAATTGTCTGGAAACTTTTTCCTCTTCAGGGACCGAAGAACTGTCCGACGATGAATAGGGACATATACTACAAAGGTATGAAAAGCTGTATCCCACCTTGCTTCGCCACGTGAAATGGGAAAAGTTCGTTCGGATACAAAGCTCGAATGACTGTTACTACGCCCGTTTTGCCGACTAATTTTCTATAGTTTTGCAACGGGCAAAAGTGATCACAGAGTTGGACGTTTTGTCTCGATTCAGGTGATAACAGGTGTTGATGGGAATGGTAACAGTGGTGGTACAATATTAGGATATGGATAACTTTTTGTGAATAGTGAGCTACAAATAGAACGTCATATTGATGCGAGTAATCAAAGTTTCAATGTGGAGAGCAAGGAATAATAGAAAGTTTTTGATAAGTATTAAGTATTGTATATCGCATAGGATAATATTAGAAGAAATGATATATCAATTGATTTTTAATGGATTAGCTTTCTTATTGAGTTTTGAATAATTATAATACAGGTAAAGATTGTGTTTGATTTTCAAAAATCAATGAAAAGATTGATCTTTTAATTTTTATATTGTGAGGATAATTTTTGTTGTTGGATCTCACTAGTTTATAGGAGATTTAAAAAAATATCTATCAGTGTACGAGTTCTGGACTGATATGGTGATCTTTGAATCATAAAATTAATCTACTATTTATCATTAGAATTTTAAAAAGATGGGGCCTATGAGAATAATTTTACAATTCTTATACAATATTTATTTTATTTTATATTCATTTCTATTCAAAAACCATTCTTTTTAATCAATCTTATCAATTCTGGCTTTCGTATTCTAATGAACTTGATCTATTTTACCACAAAATATTCCATCATTATTTCTGTATTTGTTGCAGCCAACAGCTGGAAATAACCCCCTTGGCAAGTTATGGGGGTGGCTGGAGGTGAACTACGCTTTCCCTGGGTTAAACTGGAGCCACGCAGTTAAGAGGATAGAAACCCACTGACATATCAATTAATGAGCGCGACCAGTGGTCATCGTATCGATCAGATCGAGCAGAGGCCATCGTGGCGCGTATGGTTGAGAGGAAGAGTGAGAGAGCGAACGAAAGAAAGAGAGAACGAGCGAGTGAGAAAAGAAGAGAGTCGAGTCAGAATGTCGAGAAAAAGAGAGAAAGAGATTAAAAAGAAGAAAAATGCTTCGTTGTACTATTAGACGTGAACTGCCAAGTATGTTTCCAGTAACGAG